CCGATGCGGGGCTCGATCCCAGGACCCTGGGATCATGACCTGAGCTGAAGGCAGACGCTTAACCGACTGAGCCACCCAGGCACCCCCAGATGACACTTTTAGAGACCTTCCTGGCCATCCCATCTTTCCCTCCTTCTGCCTCTCTCTCCCTTTTCCTCCCCCCATGTATACACACATAAACACACATTCGCTATTCCCCTTCTCTGCTGTATTTTTTCCCATAGCTCATCAGCCAAGAAACTATCTTACTTGTTAGAATCTTTTGCTCCCCCTGCCAACTGAATATAAGTTCCATCAAGAAAGGGATTTTTTTTTTTTTTCATTTTTGTTATCTGTTGTATTACCAGCACCTAGAACAGTGCCTGGCATATCCAGGTGCTCAAGAATATGCTGAATGATCAAATAAAGGACCGTAAAGAAAATCATTGTGGTCACAAATTTTAATGGTTAAATAATAAGACTTGCGAGGTAAGCTGTTTATATAAAATCAAGAATTCCTAGACAGTGTGTCTTCAGCAGTTTAGAAATTTGACCTAGCTCAGTTTTAAAAAATCAGTTAATAGTAAGAGAGGTTTATATTAAATTATCTTAATTCAGCATTTGTATAACTTAAAGTTCATTTAATAAAGCGATCTAAGTAATGTCCTCTTTCATTTTTGTGAAAAATTATCTTTTTGTTGTCTGCTCTTACTCATATTAGATTGCTTCCTCGTGTATTTGTTTATTTGTGGGATGTTGTCCTCATGTCCTCATGTTGAACAGGACTACATCTGGAGAAATCCTTTGTTGATTCAGGGTGTACCTCTCAAGAATGGGTTTTGTAGTTTCTCGTGCCAGACATCCCCTACTCTGGACTGATTTTTATGTTATTTCTTAGCTATTTCCTAGGCCAAAATAATGGTATAATTTTGAACGATAAATTCTGGATGCCTCACTGACTCATTTCTTTAGACTTCTATAGGTCCATTATTCCTACTGTCTTCTTTTCTACTTTGTGTAAAATTTTTAAGTAATTCATCAAGGAATATTCACTTCTAATAGATGTATCTCGTTATCAACACTTTTTTTCTGGGATAGAACTGTTCTAAAGTATATACCGGTATTACGTGCTATATTCGTATTAGGAGTTCTCACATGCCATGACTACATAATTTGATCTAACATTCTTGGCTAATCTTCAGGATTAGTTCAAGCTCAGCTATATTCATTACTTAGGATAAAGTAAGAAATTTAACCAGAAGTTAAGATGAACAAATTTGTAGTTTGTTTTGAATTTTGACCTTTTTTTTTTTTTTTTAATTGATGTAGTCCCTTTTTCTTTTTAGGTTTTGTTTCAACTCTGGGTGGCACAGAGTTCAGAGTTCTTCAGACGGTTAGCCCTATTACTTTCTACAGCTAATTCACCTCCTGGGCCCTTACTTACTCCAGCACTTTTGCCTCATCGTATTTTATCTGATGTGACTCAAGGTCTACCTCATGCTCATTCTGCCTGCTTGGAAGAGCTTAAGCGCAGCTATGAGTTTTATCGGTATTTTGAAACTCAGCACCAGTCAGTACCCCAGCGTTTATCCAAAACTCAACAGAAGTCAAGAGAACTGAATAACGTTCACACAGCAGTACGCAGCTTGCAGCTCCATCTGAAAGCGTTACTGAATGAGTAAGTTTAGAAGCCAAATAAGAAAATGTCCCCATGATTAGCAAGCTTCATTCTTGTGCCATTGTGGTTGTTGGCTTATATCCTAGCTAGAAAGAAGCAAAATTGAGACATGCAGCATGAAGAATGGTTTATAACTATGAATGTAGCAGAGAAAGAATGATTTGTAGGTACTATAATTTGGGGGAATCATTTATAGTTTTCACTTTGTCTGATTTCAACAGAAAACCTAGAAAGGACAAAAGCAGGTGTTCATTCTGTTTGAGAGCTGAAATGGAGATGTTTACAAAGATTGAGCTTTTTTTAACGCTCTTTAAGTAGGGCTCTTAAACTGAACCCTGCAATCTGAGAAAAAGATCTGCCAGCACTGGAACAGTAAGTTATAAGAGGTATTGTTATATATAGTTGAAGAATAATATATTACAATTTTTAAAAATAAAGTAGATTTGGACATTTTCTGAGCCAGAGGACAAACTTTTTGGCCCAAGTTGAATATTAAAGTGCAGGGTCCATAGTTTATATTTGTTTATCTTCTACTTAGCATGGTATATATTTTTTAAAGATTTTATTTGTTTGACAGAGAGACAAAGCGAGAGAAGGAACACAAGCAGGGGGAGTGGGAGAGGGAGAAGCAGGCTTCCTGCTGAGCAGGGAGCCCGATGCGGGGCTTGATCCCAAGACCCTGGGATCATGACCCGAGCCGAAGGCAGACGCTAAATAACTGAGCCACCCAGGCACCCCTACTTTGCATGGTATTATTGGTACTCTGCCTTGGTCAAATGTAGCATCCAGTCATTCCAGTGACATTTTTCTGTAACAGATACTTGTAGTATAGGACTGGATCAAATGAATGGTTGGGTTCATATTATGTTGGTAATCAGGAAGGTCATGGGAATTTAATGAGTTGATAAGATTGTAGTTAATGTACCTGACCCTGGATACCAGGCAAGAAGTAGAAGGGGGAGGTCAGGACTCAGTTTTGTAAGATAAAAACAAACAAACAACAAAAACAGATCAAAAGCATTTGACGTCTCAGTAAAATCAAAGGGCTAGTTCACTGGAGTAAGGAAGAATATGATGAACAAGAATAAGAAATTAAGGTGAGAAAGACATTTTGAGAAAATCAGTTTTTACCCATATGTCTGAGGTATAAAAGGCAGCTATAAAGGTTAGGGCATAGGGGGAAATTAAGAAACTGTGAGGCAGGGATGTTCCAGTGGTCTCTAGCAGCTGTTCTAAGAAAGCAGATGAATGAATGCTAACTGGACTCAGTCCTATCTCCCACAAGGACTACGGAAGATAAGGCAATCTCTACTTGAGGGGACAACAAAGGTTGGATATATGTCAGAAAACATTTTAGTGGAAAGGTTGTATTGGGCAAAGCCAGAGTCTCTAAAGAATTAATTTTTGGCAATAGAATCAGAACTATACAGGACTTAATAGAATGCATTAGGTTAGGGAAGATGGCTCAGGGAAGAAAGAGGCTAAACTGGATGGACATGAAAAAGAGGGGCTTTGTACCTTGGCAGAGACTGTGGATTATGCATGGGAAGGATGTTTAAAAATGAAATATTCTATATATGGTACTAAATGTCATCTTTCAAACAGAGTATACCAGTCACAAGCCATATCTGATTTACTCTATAGCAGCGCTTCACACTAAGTGTTATCTAAACATTCGTTTTGTTTCACTCCTCCTCCTCACTCGTCCCCTTTGTTCTTCCCAGTTTTGTACACTAGAGCATTAACCCTTCTACTCTTCTCTCTGCCTCTAGAGTGCTGACTACCAAAGTAATGTTTCTGAGGCATATATTTGCTTTCTCACTTAACCAAAAATCTTCACTGGTTTCAGAGTGTAGCAGCATGGACTACAGTCTGTCTAAAACATTCTGTTGAAAGGATTTGCTATAACCTGATTATAGTCTGCCTTTCTGTCTTTATTTCTCATTCCTTTCTTTCAGTCCAAAGACACTGCACAAATGCCTTTTCCCATGTACCATTTAGAATGACCTTCCTCATCTTTTGTACGTGTTCAGATTTTATCCATCCTTCAGTGCTTCCTCAAAAGTACCTCTTCCTTAGCTGTTCCCTGTCTGTACCCATAGCTGGTAGCAATTTTCTCCTCTTCTGAATTCTTACAACACGGTCTTTATCTTTCTGTGGTATTACACTTTTGTGCTTCTATCCAGCCCGAACGTGGAGCCTACCAGCTGTCTAACTCTGGGCACGTTTCTTCAACTCTCTGGACCCAATTGCTCATCTGTAAAGTGGAAATAAAATGTTAGAACTTTTTATGGTATTATATTTACATATATATGCCTAATGTCCCTGATTCAGTTATGTTTCCTATTAAGTATGAAATGAGCTTAATTTATCCTTTCAGTTCATAAATGCCTCATATATGTAAAAGAAATATTGTTGAATAAATAGGTGCTATCCTTTATAAGCTTTTGAAAACATTGTGGTAAAATGCACTTAACATTAAATTTACCATTTAGCCATTTTTAGGCATACAGTTCAGGGGCATTAGGTACATATACTTTGTTGTGCAACCATCACCACTTTCCATCTCCAGAACTCTTTTCATTTTATAAGCTTATTTCTTAAATAAGCCTTATGAATTATAAATTTTCTATTTAATATTTTAGAAATCTGTTTCTGTTTTTCTTTACTACTTAGGGTAATAATTCTTGAAGATGAACTTGAAAAGCTTGTTTGTACTAAAGAAACACAAGAACTAGTATCAGAATCTTATCAAATCCTAGAACAGAAGTTGAAGTTGATTCAGCCCCATGTTCAGGCAAGCAACAATTGCTGGGAAGAGGCCATTTCTCAAGTGGACCGACTGCTCCGAAGAAACACAGATATAAAAGGTACCAATAAGAGCTTTCCTTCATACACATTTATCAGACATGCTTACTGTCCTCCAGTAAGATTTTGTTAGGTAGGTTTCTTATCTCTATGATGTAAGTGACTTGACAAAACTTCTTAGTTTACCAAAAGAAAAGTTGAACTTAAACATACAAATTGGCACTGAATATAAAGTCTGGCTCTTATTTTGTAAACAATAAATGAATATGATTTGCAAGTTCTCTGAATCCTATACCTCCTTTTTAAAAAACTTAATGAAGGGGTAGATTTTAAAAAGTCTTATTCCATTACTAGAACTTCCAGAGAAACTCTTTTCCAGTTAGTGTAATAATGAGTTTGATAGCTATAGGCCAGAAATTGAGTCTTGCTTGTAAGGTAGACTACGTCAGGCGTTCACGAATAGTATACCAGCGCTATAATAGGGCAGCACTGTGTATTTGTTACTAAGGGTCTAAAATGTGTTAAGTGCCATTATGTAATGGTGACATCGGAATGCCTTGTATTGCTGGGCAAAAGGGCAATCTTGAAATTTTCCACAAAACCACTTTCATTTGACCCAGATTTTATATTAGTTTTTACTAGTACATTTCACTAAATCATTGTAAATATTTGGCATATTGATTTTTAAATTTGTGCTACAATCCAATACCATGTTTATCCCTTGGACCTTTATGATAATCAGATTTATGTAGAAATTGTATTGCTGCCAAAGATGATTAATGCTTTATCACCCTGTTAGTCATTGTTTTATTTACAGCTAGATCTGTAATACTTTAATGTGTTTAAGAAGCTGAATAAGTCTTTATATAGTGAAAGTTAACTTTCTTCAAAGGAAATGTTAACATGCTAATCACGGATACATCACCAATAGATCGTTTACATCTAAAATGTAAATGGCGAGTAATTTTTTTCTTCAAAGGGTAAATTTGCCAAGGATTTTTAATATATGCAAACATTTATGCATGTTTAACTTTTTGATATGACTTAAGTCTAGAGCTTTTTCTTTTTTTAAGGCTTTTGGGGGTGGCTTTTTTTCAAGTTTTTACTTAATTCCAGTTAGTTAACATACAGTGTAATATTAGTTTCTTGAGTACATTTTCTTTAAATGGAAACACTCAGAAGACGACTAGGTGTTTAGAGATGCATCCCATTTATTCCTCCCCTTAGCATACTCTGAGATGTTGAATTTTAGTCACTTACACATGATTGTTAAAACTGTCTCCAAAACACTGGGCAGGTGATAAGCCATGATGTTCTGCATATGTGGCTTTTGCTTATAAGTGATAATGGTACAAATTAAGATATAAGTCATTTGCAAACTTTCCTCACTAAATTGCTCATAGTGGCCATGGCTGTGTAACTTTGAATAAAATGTTTGTATGATTTTTTTTAAGAAGCAGGTGTTTTAGTAGGTGTTAGCTCTTTTTAGGTTATTTCAAAACTACAGAAATATCATAAGAATAGTTCAAAGTACCCTTCTTTACCCATATTCCTCACTTGACATTTTACCACATTTGCCTTACCTCTCTGTGTATCTGTCTATAAATTCTTTTGGCAATATTATTCTGAACCATTTGAGAGTAAGATGCAGACATGAGACCCTGTTTCCCCTAAAATCTTCTGTTTGCATTTTTGAAAATGGACATTCTCCTGCATACCTACAATATACATCAAAATCAGGATGAGCACTGGTACAATATTGCTCTCTAATGCACAGATCCCATTCGAATTTCACTGATTGATCCAACAGTAATTTTATATGCCCAGATCCAGATCACACATGGCAGTTAGCTTTTATGTTCTTTATTCTACTTTAGCCTTTCTCGTCTTTCACGATAAGCATTTTATTAAAAAAAAACCCTGAGGTTATATGAAGTTTTTTGCCACTATTAAGCGTATATGTTCCATATGTCCCGCTAGTATCATTTCAGATATTTACTCAAGAGATATAAAAATGTAATGTTCACTTGAAAACCTGTAAACAAATGTTTATAGTGGCTTTATTCGTAATCACTACCAACTAGAAGCAGTCCAAGTGTCCTTCAGCTGATGAGTAGATAAACTGTTATATCCATCCACATGGAATACTACTCAGCAATAAGAAAGAAAGAAACTACTGATACATCATTAAGATGGAAGAATCTCTAATGCATTGTGTTAATCAAAAGAAGCCAGACTCAAATACTGCATAGTCTATGATTCCATTGAAATGACATTCTTAAAACAGTATAATTTAATAGGAACAGCAGACATACCAGTGGTTTCTAGGAGTTGGATATGGAGGGAGGAATAGGTTATAAAGAGGCAGCATAAGTAAGTGTTTTGAGGTGACGGAGCTGTTCTGTATCTTGGTTGTATCTATATCTTGGTTGTGGTGGTTATATGACTCTAATTTGTCTAACCTCATAAAATTAGATACCAAAAAGAGTGAATTTTCTAAGTAAGTAAAATAAAATAGCTTAAAATGTTTTCACCCACTAGTTTTAGCATCCACCCGGTTAGTAGTTCTTGCTTGAATTAGGTATTGTGATTGTTGCCAAAGGGTAATTTTCTAATTCCACTTTTCTTTTTACACTTATTAGTCAGCATTCTATTGTGAGACAGATAGCCCCCTTTTCCACTTATTTATATCAATATGGATATATGGATTCTTGTTTTATTCTGTGGATCATTATTTGTTAGTATTATATTATTATTTTGTTGCTCAAATTGTCCAAAGTTTAACCAGAGGTGACTCATTCAGGGTGGTTTGTGCCACCATCATTCTTTCTTTGATCACTTCTTTACATCTTCATACTTTCCTTGCCCTGAGCCCTAACATCAGCCATGTGTCCAAGAAGCCCTCAATCCTTTTAATGGAAAAATGGTATTTAGAAACCAGCATGTGGGTGCTAAATATCCTAAGTATGCTCATAGCCACTGGGATGTTACTGTTTTTACCAATTCCCAGCGTCTGTCCATATATGTTATATACCATGGGTTCACACCAATACCTTCAATTCAGTCCCAATACTACATAGTTCTTTCTGTCCTTCTCCCTATTTGTACCTCCCGTTTCTGATTATGAGAAACTCGGCTCTCGTTATCTTCAGTGTTTACTTATTTATTCAATCCCTGTGTGTAAGCAATTACCTGACAATATGGGCTGTCCCCTAAGCCACACTGCTGCTGATTCACACCTACTGAGAGTCTTTGCCATCCCAGTCCAGCTTGCTTTGTCCACACTAGCCCTTGACAGCCAGGAGTCTCCCCCCAACCCTGGTCCCAACCAGTTATCTATCATTACTCTTGAAAGGTAAAAATCTAGATGCTTAAACCCTACTTCTTTTTAAGTAGAGAGATAATGATGAAAGGTAGAGAGCTGGACATGAGACTAAGTAACCCGGTGATTAGAAACTAAACACCAATATTAAGTAATTAAAGTTCACACCTGGGTGATCTCTTCAAACTATTCCTTGTGAAACTCATTTCCAATTCTAACTTCTGAGGGTAGAAATAATAGAAGGGAAGTACAAGGTTGAAGTTTATTTTTTGTGGGGAAGAGTGGTGGTCTGTCTTGAGAATGTTCCTGTGCCATGAACAAAAATTGAGTGCCTGTTGTGTGTCAGATACTATGGTGAGATGAAGAAGGGAGAGAAAAACAAGTTACTCCTCCAAGAGTTTAACTTAAATTGTAAATCTGCTGCTGTTACTGTTAACTTTAACATCCTTAATTTTTTTTATAAATTAAAAGTTATAATCAGAACAAGTTGGACTATGAAACTGGCAAAATATTAGTACTAAGAATGTTTTTTAATTAGATGTTCACTCGTTTCCACGTGGTCTGTTGCTTTTTAAGGCAAGCCTGAAATAGTGTGTGAGAATCCCCGTTGTACTGTGGCGCCTCTGACGCAGCCTGCTCTACACATTGCAGACAAAGATCCAATCCCCGAGGAGCAGGTAACGGTGAAAATTGCTTTTCTTCCCCCTAAAGAAGAGTTTCACATATAAAGGTTGCCTGCTTTCTCTGTAAGTGGCGTAGATAATTATTCACTAAGTTGTTAAATTTATGTTTGTGATGAGCTTCAAAATTACAACACAATGTACTGAACTGACATCACATCATTTGTTCTTAATGCCTTGAATTCAATGCACTGAACCTACCAGCAAATTTACATGTTATTTATACCTTACTATTTCTTAGACACTTAAAAGTGATTAAACACATTAAAAATCCGTGCATTGGCAAAGGTACCTTCTGGGATGCTGGAAATGGGACGAGTGGTTACCGGTCTGTATACATGTGTGAAAATCCTGCACACGTTGAGATTTGTTCATTTGGCAGCAAGTACACTGTACCTCACTCTAAAGAAACAATTTTTCAATGATTTCATTAGACACTGACAAAGATTTCTTCTGCTTATCCTTAGGAAAACTTCTTTTCCTTTGGTCATACTGTCTACTCAGTTCTTAATTGCAAAAGGAGACCAATTCCGTTTCCTTTAACAAACAGATTTCTTTTTTAAGATTTTATTTTATTAGAGAAAGAGAGAGAGAGAGCACGCAAGTAGGGGGAGGGACAGAGGGACAGAGAGAATCCCAAGCAGACTCCCCACTGAGTACAGAGCTTGACGTAGAGCTCCATCTCACCACCCGGAGACGATGACCTGCGCTGAAACCAAGAGTCGGACGCTTAACTGACTGAGCCACCAGGAGCCCCAACAAACAAAAATTTTGTTTGAAAAAACAGTACATGACTGAAAGAATATTTCTGAGGACCACATAGGTTTGAACCAGGCTGGTGTAAATGGCCAAAATCACCCAAAGGAATTGTTCCCTTTACAGCAACATCACTGCCCAGTCACTGGTTGCAGATATTACTCTATCATTGCTGAATAATAAAAACTCCCTTTAGAACCTCTACCTCTAGAAACATGATCTGCCACCATTCTTACCAGAATGGATTCCTTAAGATGCCTGCTTCCCTTGTAATAAACTTCTGGGTCAGATGTGATCCATGTACATCTGATTAGAGGATCCCAAGTCATTTGCCTGACCCATAACTGCAAGGAGGCTGGATAAGCAAGGATCCTAGTCTGTTCCTGGGAAGTCAGAAAGAACCACAAATATCTACCACAAGAAGACTTAACATACCTGACCACCTCCCCAAACCACCAGCCCTTCTAATTTTGATTGGTTTTGCAGAGCTAATAACTAATCTTGTCTAGATCTATAGAATGGTATCAGAGCAGAAAAATAATGATTGAAGTTATTAAACCTTCTTATCCACAGTCCCTTTTAGTATCAACTGTGAAGTTTTTTTAAGACTTCAATTTATCTATAATAATATGTTTGCTCTGTTTGCCCACCTTTGCTTTAGTGACCTGTGCCAAGTGTCTTCATTTTTTAATCTTGGAGATGGGTAGGTATAAGTTCATGAATGCTACTAGAAAATTGTCTGCTTGAAGTGCTTTTTCTTATATTCATTTTCAGGAATTAGAAGCTTATGTAGATGATATAGATATGGACAGTGATTTCAGAAAGGATGATTTTTATTACTTGTCTCAAGAAGACAGAGAGAGACAGAAGCGTGAACATGAAGAATCCAAGAGGGTCCTCCAAGAATTAAAATCTGTGCTGGGATTTAAAGCATCAGAGGCAGAAAGACACAAGTGGAAGCAACTTCTATTTAGTGATCACGGTAAGCACTGACTTCAGAACAAAAAAGTTATTTTAATGTAGGGGATTCTTTTTCCTTGAACTATGAATCTTGTTTTAGCTGTAAAATTCTTATAGATTTAATTTTAGGGATCTGTCAGCAAGTATAGTACTTTTTCTTCCAAACACAGATCAATATGATCAATGAAAGAGTAGGTATATAATCAAATTGGGAATATGAAATCATACTTTTTCATCACATATTTGCTGTTTTACTAAACTTTATTTGGAACTGGCAGTAAGTTGAATAAATTAGTGTTTTCAAATTTAGTGAATTTGAGATTCTAAACTCTGTTCTCTTTTATGTTGATACTATAAATACCTCAGTGAAGCACCAAATTAATAACTCTATGTTCATCATTGAAACAAATGAATTAAGACCTAGGCCAGTTAGCTACATCATTAAAGTTACTTAATTGATTTGAGCACTTTAGTAGATGGGAGAAGAGGAGGAGGTGCTTTTGTGCACACTGTCTCCATGTTTGGATATTGACAATACTGACGATTAGCATGAAACTCCTGTAAGTTTTCCACTCTTCTTTTTTTGAGTTGGATTTCATGGGAGGTGAGGGAAGGAATGAGAGGAAGCTTAATATTTGACACTATCAAATTAATTCCTAGTTGAGAATTAACTTCTGTAGATTTCTAAGTAGGGAGAGTGGGATTCCCCTTTTATGGAGTACTTATGTGGAGCCTCAAAATCAACTGCCTTCTTTTCCCGTTCTCTTTCTCACTAGAAGTTTATAGATTACCTATACTTCTGGAAAGTTCCTCAGGTTTCTCTTTTCTTCTCTTAGGAGCTCTACCATTCTCCCTTGTCCAGCTACACATTTCTTGATTTTATCCTTCCTCTTCCCATTGGTCCCCTTTATAGCCCAGGTCCTTATTAGACTGTGCTCATATATTGTAATAGTTTCTTAACTGACTTCCATTTTTTTTTATTATTATGTAAACTCTACCCACAATGTGGGGCTCAAACTCATGACCTCAAGATCAAGAGTCGTATGCTCTACTGACTGAGCTAGCCTGGCTCCCCAGCTGACTTCTGTTTTCAGTACCTTTTTCTTCTAAGCTATCCTTCAAAGATAGCTTCTAAGCTAGCTTCTATCCTTGCAGGCTCCCTCCAGATTTTTCTCAAACAGTAGAGTACATTGATAATGGCTGTCTAGCTTTAAAACCTAGAGTGGTTCTCCCTTTCCTGCTGTATTAAATCTAAACTCCCTTTCTTCCTGGTTTCAAGCCTCTCTGTCATACGAGTCCGTCATTTTATATTTCCTACTCTTTCTAATACAGATATCCTCCTGTGGTTATATTCATCTAATTAGACGATGGTTCCACAAACTTAATTGATTTTATTCATGAAAAACATTCATGCCGGGGCGCTTGGCTGGCTCAGTTGGTAGAACACGCGACTCTTGTTCTTGGGGTCATGAGTTCAAGCCCCACATTGGGGGTGGAGTTTACTTTAAAAAAAAAAAAAAAGAAAAACATGCATGCTGATCTCTTTATACCAAGAATTCTGTCTTCTCCACCGAGCTGTCCTTTCTACCAGTTGCTCATCCATGAATCCTCTTCTCCCTGCTGCTTCTCCCACCGCTGTAGAGCCTCACACCAGAGGGGCACTGGAGGGAATTGGAAGGAAGTCTTGAGCAGCAACATATGTAGTGGATTAAGAACTTCCCAGAAGCAGCAGTAAAGATAGAGTTCCTGCAACCTGTTTGTTCATATGTTGGGCGTACATGAATCAGAGATTGAGAGTATTGTGTTTTAGGCACTCTTGTTTTCTATGCATCCAATATTTTTGTCTTTCTAATGAAATCACAGTCTCTATCAGTAGGGGCTTTATTATCCCCCACAGTGTTCCTTCAGAAAATTATTCATTCAACAAGTAGTTCCTGAGGCACTGTTTCCTGCTGTATCCCTCGTGCATAGATCAAGAGACAAAGTCCCTGTTCTCCTGGAGGCTTACATTCCAGCAGGGTTAACACTTGACCCTCCACTTGTACGGATTATATTGCCCTATTTAATTAACAATAATCAGGGATATCAATCAACGTCTAATATATGTTATATTCTTTAAGAACTAGATTTATCGACTAAAAATGTATGGGAAGACTGAAAATAGCGTTGTATATAAACCTGTATCTTTATTGTTGAGTATTTTTTCCATATAGCTTTAAAATTATCCTCTTGACAATACGGGCAAGGATATAACAATGAAAGAAATGTGTGTCTTTTTTCAGGTATGTGCTTCTGGTAGTTTACATTTGAAAGGGCAGTAATACTGATTTTGTTTGTCAAAATAAGTAAAAAGCTGCTGATACCATAAAATGCTTTTTCCATGAAAAATTTCAGTACATCTTCCAGAGTTGTTTTCATCTCTGCCTACAGGGGTAAAGTCCGAATGGAATTAGAGAGGGATATTCTACACTGGAACCTGCTGTGGCCATTTTTTCTGTTGTTGCTGCTTCCCTAGTGGAGTTACTGCAGCTTAGGGATCTGTTTCTTGGCAATGGACTCCTTTTACAAATTATTTTTTAAATAAACGCCAGATCTTCAAGAAGCACTTTTTTTTCTTCCGTCATGCTTCCTAATATATTGTATTGTACTAACCCCTCATACTGGGAGGAGAGACTGCCTAGCAAGCAACCCACTGCCTACTAACATCAAGAGGGGCTAAATAAAACTTCATTTTCCTTGAAAGGACAACTTCTGCCGTATGGATATAATATTTATGTATTATGCTTTGTACAATAGTTGATTTTGAATACAGATTTTATTTTGTTTTCTATTTTTCTGTGACATTACAAAATGTGTCGAAGTTATGGCTTTACTTTCATCAGGGTCTTGTTAGGTGGTTGGCAAGTAAGTTGAATTGTGTGCATTTTTTTTTTCCATGCTGTTTTAACTTGTAAATATATATGTGCTGAAGAGATGATTATTATCTGGATGACTTTAGACCTTTTAACTGACACGTTATCGGTAAAAATCATGCTGCTTATTCTTTCATAAGATGGTTCTCAAACTGTAGTGTGCATTGGAGTCAAGTGTAGGGCTTGTCAACACAGCTGGTCCCCACTCACAGTGTCCCCTTCAGTAGGTCTGGGTGGGGCCCAAAAAATTTGCACTTCTATCAAATAAGCTGGTGGTTACAACTGATGCTATTGGTTTGGGGACCACACTTTGAGAACCACTGCTTTAATATTTTGAATAAGAGAACGTGTGAGGTGTTCATCAAAACCCCATCCCATTTCATTTCTTAGGCATTCTATCTCTTATAAAGTTCTCTGGATTTATAAATTTACATAGATTTTACTAGAAAGTTTTATTTAGCTTTTATTTATTTATAAGAAAAAACTACTGGAAGTTTAAATTAAAGTTTAAATCAATGCTGGGTCCTTAGTTATTATTTTTCTTTCTTTTTTTCTTTCTTTCTTTCTTTCTTTTTTTTTTTTTCCTTTGAAGCTGTGTTGAAATCCTTGTCTCCTGTAGACCCAGTGGAACCCATAAGTAATTCAGAACCATCAGTGGATTCAGATATGGGGACAGTTGGTAAAAATGATACTGAAGAGGAAAATAGTAAACCCTCCACAGCTGACAATGAAATAAGTAGTAGGACTGAGTATTTATCTGAAAACCCTCTAGATAGTAAAAATAAAGACAATTCTGCAAATGACGTCTTCCTCCAAGGAGCTGAAGAAAGAGTGTGTTACCAGTGTGAGAGTGAAGAGGAATGTCAGCAGGCAGATGTAGGTAGCCTGTCCACTGCCCATCCAACTGCCAGGGACTTCTTTCAGCCCTCCATTAAGCAGAGACTGGCACGGCTCCAGCGGTCACCGGATTTTACCTTCACTGCCGGTCTTGCTGCAGAAGTGGCTGCTAGATCTCTCTCCTTTACCACCATGCAGGAACAGACTTTTGGTGATGAGGAGGAAGAACAAATAATACAAGAAAATAAAAATGAGGTAGAAGAGAATTAAGAACCAAGATTTACATGAAGGATTTTAAATTGTTGCTTTTATGCAGGTGTTTTAGCTTCAACACTACATAATCCACTGGAAAGGGAAAATGAGTGTTTACTATATATAAAGCTAAGATGTGAATTTACAGCAAGAACCCTGGTTTGAACAACTGCTCTGAAAATAGTAGCTAACCTGTAAATGGCAAATCTTTTAGGAAAATAAGAAGGTAAGGGCTCTTTTGAATAAACTTGCTGTTTTAATTGCAGTACAACTGATCAATCTTGGGAATTCTTTAGGTACTTCTAATAAGAAACAAATTTATCATTTCTTGCCAGAATTCGCTAAAATGACTGGGATAATTCTATTGCAAGAACATTTAGTATGACTCCTTTTTACTATATTCTTGCAGTTAATAACTGCAACTATTATGTTAATAACAACTTGTTTGTATTTTATTTTTGTTTCTACCAGCCTTAAAGATACAGGTTCTGAATTTTAAAAAAAAATTGAATTCATACAATTAATGTGTACTGGGGGTTGGAACTAAAAAGTAGTGTCAAAAATACTGGGATTGTGACATGTTTCTTAACGTTTCCTTGTTCATACCTGTATTCGGTAGTTAATTTTAAGATGTCCTAATAATCTTTAAGAGAAGAACATTGTACTGTTTTAAAAATTAGCCTTTCAATTATTTTTTGTGTTTATCTTATGTTCTTGTTATAACTAATAAGGAATGATGTCAAAGTGGGATCCCTGTAGTCCAAGGCCCCATTCCCAACTTTGCAGAAAGTTCTTTGTTTAGGTTTGCCTACAGATAATTGGGTGCCATTAACACAAGCCGGTCACCTTAGCTGCCGATTTCTAACCTGAGGCTATACCCTCTCCACCTTAATGAGATTCTGGAAACATCCTGTCTGCTTCCTGGAAAGCATCCTTGTCTCCTTAGTACTTCATTTACAAACTACCTCTTAAAAGAGGTTGCTTTCCAAATTGTCCAGTGTTAAATGACTGCATTTTCAAAATGTGACATTTTCAGGAGTATAGTACGTCTTGAAACCTATAGCTCTTCCGCACTGACATAGTTTATAGACATTACTTGGGGAAAGTACAGGAATAGTAATTTCTGCTGCTGTCCTAGAGAGGAGATTACACGATGGGTATAGATTGTCTTTAGAGAAACATTCAGATTCCTGTAAACTTAGAGCACTTTGAGTTAATAGTTTTATGTATCCAAAGGGATTTTTTTTTTTTCCAGTAATCTTAGGAAATGTATTTTTTAACCTGAGGAAAAACTTGGTTCTGCTTTATATGAATAGTAGAGACCCTCTGTGATTCTGCCTATTGACCAAAAATCTGGGACTTATCCATAATTAAGCTCTTAGGATTATCTTAGGGTGGGCCTAATTTACCACTTAGCAATAGTTAGCTAAATTTCAAGAAAAAAACAAATTCTTGTTTTAAGACTGACGATTGTATTCATAAATAATAATACTTTCTTTTTAAATTACTTAGTTTGACAACTCCTTTTCTCCTTGGATTTAGAAGAAGCAGTTATGGAAAAGCTTGGTAATCTTTCTCTTAATCTGTAACCTTACACAGGAAGAATTAGAGTTTAGTAACTTTTAATTCTTTTATTGTATTATTTTTATTATAGCGGTTTAGGAAAAAATCTTAATATCTTATCAGTTTTATTCAATGCTCTCTGAGGTGATACTTTTTAATTTTAAAAGACTGATTTTAATCAGGAATTCCTAATCTTCCAGTCTGATCTGTTTTATTCACTGTTAACAAGTTAAGTTGTTAACTTAATTCCATGAAAATTCTACTTGTTGAAACCATGATATAAGGATCTTGGGACTTTAACTGAAGCTTCTTTTTTTGTGTGTAGTTTTCAAAATTTCTTTCATCTTTTAAAATGCTTCTAAGATAAAATATTATTTTCCCTGTGAATATTCCTAATTTTCTCTTATAATAGTCTAAAAGTCAGTGTTTCTCAGTTTTTTTTATGGGGCATCAACTTAGAATAAATTAGAGGTCTTGTTTTTACATTTCAGATTAGGGGCCATACTCCCAATCCATTCTAGTTGGTCATTTTGGAATGAGACCTAGGTGATGTTTATGCCCAGTAAAATCTAAGAACCTCTGTCTAGGACTTTTTCTTGCCATGAATACCTTAGGAAATAAAAACAAGTCAGTGTAATTATAATTAGGTACTCTTGTTGCTTTTTTAAGAATATTTCACTTTTTATTGTCAGGCTTTTGACTAGTTTTAATAGTTGCCATCCTCCTTCCAAAAGAAGCCCTCTGGGAAAAATATTTTGTGATGCAATGCTTACAATTGTGCTTTCCAAATTTTACAATGATATTTTGACCAGATACTTCTTGTTAGGAGTAATATCCTAACAGCTTTTAACATGAACATTTCCATAGTTTATTTTACCAGGACAAACCTAGTACTTAATGTAAAAATGCATGAAAGAAGCTATTTGGGGTACTCCTGAAGACAAGATTTTTACCCTTTGCCTACAGTAAGGAAAGTCATGGCAGTAAATGATCTGGTAATGGTTAATCATACCTAAAATTCTTATTTTTTTCAGCTTCCATTAAAACCCTGCATATCTGGCATACATTGGGCCAGACTTGCTGGTGTTTGATTTGTGATCCTCTGCTTATATTCTAAGTTGTCTGTATTTTCTGACTTCCTAAGTTAAGCCTTCTTTAAAATTGTACTTCATTAAAATTGTACGTTTGAATATATGTAATTAAGAACTGATGTATTGACTCAGGTTTGATTTCTCAAGTTCTTGGAGACAAGTCAGGAGAAACACATTTAAAGCAAATTTCTAAGGAAATTTTAGAATATGGGTTTAAAGCTTTAACACAAAAGGATAACCTTGAGTTTAAATCTCAGATCCATCATTTAAAAGCTATGGGTGCAGCTGACCTAATAATGTCATGGGGAGTTTTTCCAGCAAAAAACAAATTCTCTGGATTGCTAAGTGATGTTGGTGAACTCTGACTTCTCAGAAGTAGTTAAAAAAAAAAGTGAAACTTTTGAGGCTGAAAAAAAAAAAGATCTGGTTATACGTATGTTAGTAAAATAGGTCAAAAAATTTTTTAAAATTCTCTGAAAAATAAGTAGTACTATTCTGATTTACACAGTAAAGTTGGAGAAGCTTTTGATGTTAAAGCAGAAAAAGAATTAAATTCTGATACATTTCACAAAATTTTAAGTCAATGGGATGTTAATCAGAAAGAACCCTAAGGGTCCTTTCACTCTGTGACCAACTTTTATTTATACACCATAAGTAATATAAAATGTGAAATATTTTGATAAATTATTAGAAATCATGTCGGAAGAAAAGTTCAACTGATTTAGTTTAATCATAATACATTGTTTCCGTATCAAAATAAAACAAGGAAACAAGAACTAAATGCCATAAGACTGTAGATGCCAAGAATGAAAACCAGACAAAGATTGATTTATTCTTCCACTTCCATGGATAAGAACATGTCTGTGTAATTCACACTTATATTAGAAAATGAAGCAACAAATCTATTGGAAGACAAAATATGGAAAAAATGCGCTAAGTACAGTAACAATTTACTTGTCACCATTGACAGGTAACTAACTTGCATGAGTTAATTTTTCATGTAACTGAGGCAAATCCGTTTATTCATAACATTTTTTTTAGTAGTTGAATAGGAAAATTTCTAGAATATTTAGGATCTAATTTAACTTTTTCTTTGTCATCTTTAAGAATATCAGTTCCTATCACGGGGTGATAAACAGAAATGCACCCTCAGGGACTCCTAAGATAGATGAGGTTATGTGTCCTTTTACTCTATGACCCTACGATGCTGTGCTTTGTGAGCTATGTCTCGTTTTCACAGTTTCTCTATCTTCCCTTAAAATCAGCTGTCACTTTTTGCTGCTGTCTTGGGTGCCTGCCTCTTGCACTAGGCCCCTAATTTGCTGCTTCTAATCTGCTGTGGCCTGAGAAACCAGATTGCCAAACTCGCTAGAATTGTGTCTAAAATAAGAGTAAGTAGACTGAAAGAAGGCTAAGGGGCTTTTTCGGTCAGTTAAGTGCATGGACTTTGTGGTACCTGTTTGGCTGCTTAGCATACATACTTTTGTTTGCCTCTTCATTCTTTACTAAGAACTTGCTAAAAATACTTGGTTGAATATGTGATTGCCATATATTTAAAATATTAATTCAGTTTTTATATATTGATGTTTCTAGGACTCTCCATAAATGAATTCAGCTGTAAAAGAAAATCCAACTACCATCTTTGTACAAATCATTGTGTATATTTTAGGAAAATGTTAAATGTTTTGTTCTCGTTGATTGTTCCTAGTATAGGACACAGACTGAAAACTTAGAGCATTGTAAATGTGACTCCAATTCTGTTCACCAAGATTTATATTCTAGAACTGTAGGTTTGAGACTAAACATGCATGGCTAATTTAGGAAGAACTGGCTAACTGAATATTTGGAGAATGACTCATTCTAGATATCTGAGTTTTCTATAGAGCTTAGACCCCTTTAAGCATTACAAATTTTTGGAATAATTTCTGAAGGTAATCCTTTAAAACAGTATGCATTGCTGTCTTATTAAACAGTATATGAAAATCATTTTAATCTTTTTGATGTCAGAATGCTCATTATTAACAACAGTTATTATACTGATAGTCTAATTAGGCACTGAGAGCTATGTGCCCTTTTACTAAATGGCTCCATTCTGCTGTGCTTTTTTCATTTTCTTGTCTTTGTTTCCTGTTAGTAGTTCTGATTCCTCCAATTCCTGCAGTTACTGCTTGCTTACGTGTGCCCCTAGCAATGGCCTTTCTCCACCTTCGTAATGCTCCTTCTAGTCTGCTTTGGTTTTGGAAACCAGGTAACTAAGACAGCTAGAGTAAATCGACTCAGTGAAGACTAAAAAACTGGATTATACTTAAAGCGCATGGATTTTGTATCTATTACTCACTACCTGTTTCATTGCTATCTTTAAAATAAGTGAAGTTGCTAAATGCGATACCTGCTCTCAAAACAGACGAGCTGTTATTGTACAAGGGGAACCATTTTGTTTCCATACTTCACCTTCTCTGTATTCTGTCCTTTAATTTTTTGGGTCTGATTAAAACCACCCCACTCAAATTAGCATTTTCTGCAGTACTCTCTAAATGAATTGGATACCACATGCTGCTGAGAATTTCTTTGGCTAGTTTGGTTTTGTTTTTAGAGATGCATCTTCATTTCTGAAACATGAAGTAGGTTGAGTCCTGGGAAATAAGAAAACTATCATTATTGATATCCCAGAGAGCTGAGAAGTAATAAGGTTTTTAGACTCTAGGCAGTTTTACCACAAAGAATTTGTTCTTTGATTGTGCAAGATTTTAAGACAGTATCTTTGTTTTCACTCAGTGAAATATATGTTAAAAGCTTGCCAAAAGTTATCAGTGTTAGATCTAATGATATTGACAGATATATGAATGACTAAATTCCTAGTGTCATTCTATATTTTGCGTGTTTAAGTTATCATTTAATGTTAAGCATGATGATTTTTCTCTCTTGAATGAAAAATAAACATGAAATTTGCATGTTATTATGTTTGCAAGTAAAATTCAAATCTGTCTAGAAAGGGATATCCTGGCTTTGAATAACTTAGTTTTACCAATAGGCTGATTATGTTTTAGTCCATACGTTGATTCATCCATCCATCCATCATTTACAGGGTAATTGGAAAATCAGCCTATGGCCATGACTCATCACCTAACGTTATTCATATGCTACTGGAAGGGAATTATGATACAATATTCATTTAAAAATAGATGACCCAAACCCGTTTCTTGAGTTGAGACTGCCATTACAGAATAGCCATGATGCCAAACCCTGGTTGGTGGTACAAGGAGAAGAATTCTCCTTGCGTATAGTTGTGAAAGGAAAGTGATTTTACTCAGTGTAATTGCTATAAATCAAGAAGAGGATGAATTGATTCCAGGATTCACATATACAAAAGCATAACATGAAGAAGGAGTTGATTTTATAGAAATCCTAAAATGTGTGATACATTAAAATGCATATGGTATTTTTTAAAATGCTGTACATTTTAACCTGTCAGCAATTGAGTTAATTTGTTTCATCCCTATTTACTGAATTTCATTTGGCACGTGGCCAGCATGTTATTAAAATAGGACAGTATTTAAGTTGCGTATACTTCTGACACACTATTCTTCAAAGTGAGTATATTCTATGAGTCATTGTAGAAATATATATTTCCCCTCATATTTGTATCTTAAGTTTCTAAAGATAAGGGATAATTCTACTGTTTTGAACTTTACATTTTTCACTTTTATAACATTTCCTAAAGGTTGACTGCCTACAAATGAGTTTATTTCATCTTTGAGCATCTTTTCTAAAACTAAAGCATGTCTTTTACAAGTTTATTTTTTATGATATCCTAAAAAATTAGATATCTTTTTTCCTCTCCCAAGTAAATTTAATTCCATATTTAAGTCAAAGTATTTTCTGCACAGTACTAGCACCTGGCAACGTACAGAAAACTCCAGAAATGCCACTCCCATTCCTTAAAGATTGCTGTATGGTCCTGGTACAGCCCTGGAGGTCCATATGGGTGAAAAGCCCAGAAGTCACCTGAGCTGAAAGCACTCCCAAGGAGTTTGGTTTTGTTTGGGTTTGTTCTAGGTATGGTCCCAGGGATCCCAGATCAAACCAGGCCCCTGGGCCTATCCTAGAACCAACCTAAACTCGCGCATCATTCCTGGAACATCAAGAGTGTGAAGACTGAAGAGAACCTGAGGCTGACTAGACATCCTACGTTCACCAAAACTCACTTTTCTTTGTGTGTGTGCGCCTACAGTTAGCAAAAATTGGTTGGTTAATCCTTCTACAATTAGAGGAATAACAATGGATAGCAAGATAAAGTCTACCAGACTTTGACATTACAGTAATTTATCACAGTAGAAATGTGAAATGTAATATGGCTGTTACTAATTGCTGGTGGGAGAATTGTTCTTGTAACTTATCAGATCTCTAGCTCTATTTTATGGTTAAACGATTTAGCCAGCAAAAAAAAAAAAAAAAATTTCTCCCCCAAACTAATGGTTTCTGTTTTTGTCTTTCTCACTTTCTACTCAACAATATGATAGCAGTCTCATTTAATTGTGCATAATTTCTGAAAGGCATTTGGTCTTTGCCCTGTAATTCCAATGGTAAGTAATTTTAAACTTCTGTTTCTGGAGACCAATGCCTTTTTTAATCTCCTTGAATCTACCATACCGCTTTGAGCTTGATTTTTAGGTTCAGGTCTGGGAAGAACCTTAGCATCATTTGTAGATACCAAGTCCCTTGTCAGATTCATTGTAAACTATGTTTCAGAATCTGCTGTGGTTGATGGAAACAAGTTAGGATGATAGAGTGGAAATGGATTAATACCTCACAGATTACTAAAGTATTTTGCAGAATAAGGTTTTTAGTAAGTTTATTTTTGTACCCTGCTGCTCTGGATTTTTAAAAGATTCTGACCTACTTGATTCATCACGTGGTCTCACATCATAACTGTGACATTGCTGTTTTACTTAATTTGAGGACAGGATTTCTGAAAAGGCATGAAAAGACCCCAAATCCAAAGTTATGATACACAATGGAAATGTATACTTTTGGTAATACTGACATTTCAATAGGATTAGACCATGTTTGAAATAATTGCAGACAAATCAAGGACTCCCAACTGTGAAAAGAGCCTCAAACTGTGCTGTTCCTCCAAGCCTTGTCATCAGAAAAATTGGATCAGTGAGTTATCCTTTAAAATAGGACTGTGAGCTTGAGGCTCATTCTGAAGAACTCAACCCTGGGATTAGTTATCTCATTCATCATACAGATGCTTCATCCCATGGGTTCTATTATTTTTGCCTTTAAATCATATTATGTTTACCCTTCTCTCAGTGTTTTCCTGTTTGCACAGTGTTTCCTTTTTACATAAAACACTATACATGTTAGTATATGTATATTTTTTTGATAAAACAATAGACTTTGGATCTAAAGATCTTTGGATTTTGATTCCTTTTAATGTCAAATGATTTAAATGCATTTACAGTCTTGTAAATTCACTCTTAATTTATGCCTCAATTCTTTGGATTCGTTTTTTTCTAATGAACTATATTAGAATTAAATAGGTGAGCCTTACATTGGTGTCTTCCAAAATTTATGACATTTTGCATTCACCCAAACATGAAGATGTCCTGACATTAGCAGTCTTGTATCTGTGCCCTAATCTGTGAGCATAGGTAACTATTTCTTGACATAGCCTGAAATGTATGAACCCATCTTCTGTTTATGTATAGTAAGTGTTCTCAGTATTTGGGGGGGGCATTTGCATTCTCTTTTAACATTGTATGAACACTGAAAACAGGAATGTGTGAACTGTCTTACAGAGTTCGGGCTTGTTTACATATAAGTAATTTTCTAAAGTCAGTCTTCACTCTTCATTTAACACTGGAGTGTTAAGCTGTATTTTTTTAAAATATCATTTAAGAATATTCTTTCAGAGGTACTTTAATTTTTACTTTCTGCCTACCTGTATTTTGTAGAACTGCACATTTCCTACCCTACCTGAAGACTTGAGATTATAGCCTTTCTCATCAGTGCTTTCTTTGATCACTTGATGTATTTTATCGTATCAGATTTTTAAAGGACTTTTACAAGAACGGACAGTAGGTTTGTATATGCCTGTATTATTGTTGTTCCTTCTAAGCTTAACAAGTCTCTAATAAAATCTGTACTTCTCTGTGTCTTCTGTGTGTGTGCTTTTTTTATTCTGGGGCTTGCAACATGAATCAGCCAAAAGGTAAAAATTTCTTTTCCTTTTATCTCCATTTTTCTTCTATTATACTATTTTCCAGAATTTGTTAACATACCGACAAACGACAGCAGTTTTCTAGGAAAACCGTGGATTCATTAGTCTAAGTTTGGTCATTAAAGTGCCTCACATGCTAAGTCATCGGAGTGAAAACAGTAGATGAATTTTAAAAGCTCCATTTTCACCCTTCTCAGTGACTGTCACCATCGGATACATTCTTATCTTCTATTTGTTGACTTGTAGGACCTCCCTGACAGAAAAGACATACTGAATGTCCTATGTAATTGAATGAATGATTGGTTTGAACCTTCCTAAGCTCAGCTACAGTCTTGGGAACATTCATAATAACTCCCGAGTGGCTCTGCAGACCAAGTGCTGGCTAAAGAGAAAGGGCCTTCCTTGAACTGAACTTTGATTTACTTGTTTGTTTTACTATTACGAAAATGTATTTAACAAAAAAGTTCAATATGAAAATGCCCATGACCTGATTTTTATACTGTGAAAAACAGGTGCTGTGGAGAGAGGACATGTGGAAGCAGTTTTCTTCCAGTGAACACACCCATTGTTTAGTTTCCTCGTATTCCAATATCATTCTGCTGCCCACTGCTTGCCATCTCCATACATTCGTCTATCACAAGATTCATAAAGGGACTGAACCCCCGCAATATTCCTTGGACCTGTCCGCCACCATTCAATTTTAATGATAATTTCTTGTCCATAAATTTTTTCAACCCTTGAGGGTAAGCTTTGCTCATGGTGTCTTGTCGGCGAGCTCAATGATGCCTCCAGATGGACTTGAACTGAACTTTTAAATAGATAAGCTACCTCTTCCCAGAAAAGATTTGAAGCAAGGAACAAGCATTCATAAAGGCAATTCTTGACATTTGGCCCTTGTCTGGGATTTACTAATGAAAAGTGTGAGGTAAGCTAGAATATGTGTAGTTACTCTACCGGATCCTGAAGTCATTGGGTAGGAAATATCCTGTATGATAATCACTCTTTGTCTTCACAATTTGCTTCTGAAGGTCTTTAGCAGATGTGCTATAACCATTGAAAATAAAGTTGGCAAATACTAATTTTCCCCGAATGTACATCTGTAAAAATGAATAGAACATTTTCACAATCTGTTCATAAAAAATCAGTCCTACTTACTTTTTTTTGAACTTTTTTTTTTTAATTTTAAATAAGCTCTATACCCAGCATGGGACTTGAACTTATGCCCCCAGGTCAAGAATCACGCTCTACTAGGGCGCCTGGGTGGCTCAGTCGTTAAGTGTCTGCCTTTGGCTCAGGTCATGATCCCAGGGTCCTGGGATCAAGCCCCGCATCGGGCTCCCTGCTCGACGGGAAACCTGCCTCTCCCTCTCCCGCTCCCCCTGCTTGTGTTCCCTCTCTCGCTGTGTCTCTCTGTCAAATAAATAAATAAAATCTTTAAAAAAAAAAGAATCATGCTCTACTGACAGCCAGCCAGGAGCCCCAGTCCTACTTATTTGAGGAAAGATCTTAAATTTTGTGTCCCTATGAGAAAATGTTTACATTTATATACAAAATATTAGGCATCAAATATGTTCCTAGAATCTGAATATACTGTTTGAAGGTAAGGAAACAGGCTCAGTAGTTTTCTCACTCAAAGTTGTACACACGGAGTGTCAGAACCAGTGTCCTCCCCAGTTATAAAAGACCTCGCTATCATCAGCTGCCTGCAGATACATTTCATTTTACAG